GGACGAGGACGAGGACGAGGACGAAGACGACGACGAAGACGACGAAGACGACCACGACGACGAAGAGGAAGAAGAGGAGGCGAAGGAGAAGAAGGGAGAAGAAAGTGGCGGCTGAGTAGCAAACGGACAGGGACGAGCGAACTGGGCCGATCGGGGAGGATGGTGTAGCGGGAACCTGGGGGATCGATTGCTTCCCGATAGTAGTTGGCATGGAGGACACGGCACTGGGGTAAGTGAGACACCGGGGGTTCCCGTGGTTCGTTTAAAGGGGTGCGTTCCGTGCCGTCAGACAGGATTCGCCGATCGATCGCCGAGCGAACGGCTGATCCTCCCGCGATCTATCCGCCGAAGCTCGTCGCTAATCGATCACTGGCTCGGCCAGCGTCTACCCTGATTCCGATTAACGGACGAGCGTTTGTCAATCGATAAAATATTGACCGGACGTACGCGCGACCCTATTTCGCGCGGCGGACGGCCCGAGAAAATTGTCGAGCCTCCGTCCGTTCTCGCGTCGGATATTCCCGTCGCCGCGACGGTGTCGTGCGGCCGAGATCCGTCCGTTCCTCGTGATACTCGTCGCCGTTGGTTGACGGAGCAGTGACACCTTCGCGCCCCTGTGGCCTGGTTCTCGGGGATTCGGGAGCGTACGCGCCGGGAGCACGATTCCCGACGAAAGCTCGCGCACCGACGTTCCTTCGCCAGTGACCCATTGTCTTTCCCTTTGTTGATCCCTGTATCTACGCTGCGCAGAATGCATCGGTCGGCCCCCTCACCTGGAATCCGGGTATTCACCGGGCGGATTTCGAGAGCCGCGACGTCGAACCGCTCTAATCTCCGCGCGATCGGTCTCGCCGTTGAACTTTCGCTCCGCGAAGCCTTAACCCCTCGGCGATTGCGGTTCGAACGCGACACGCATGCACGGCGTTCGATGGATCGGAATGGGATGTTGCTTTAACCCCTTAACGGTCGACGATTTCCTCCGTGCACTCGGGCTGCTCGCGAAGCGACGGAATATTGACGAAATGCGGGAACAATGTTGGTACGGTGTAATGATGATAAACGGGAATATTGAGGGTAATATTTTTGTATATTCCCGCATGGAGATTGTCGAATGTCAAGGGTCAAGATTGTCGATGTGCAGAGTAGAATTTGAATCTGATGTACACGTTTAGATTTGTATTAGTCTGTGATTATTGTACATTGTTATTCTATTTTCTTTCGGGTGAAATGTTCGTGACGAAATCATCCCAGTGAACACAGTCGCGAGATAAATTGCTATGGAAGGCATGAACCGTCTCGCCGCGAAACTCATCGCAACTCGTGAAACGTCGCGCCGTGAAAAATCTGCACGCGAATCGAGATCCGCGAATCAGATGAATGAGGGGCCCGGCTCTGCCACGCTTCTGTGCGTCGTTGTTTGACGTTCATCGAACGGAAGGAACAGCGGAAAAACGGCCACGGGCTTTCAAAGCGCCGCGTCTGGCCATCTGACGGGAAACTGCACGGTTATCGGTTCATTTATCCTTTTGTATCGTTTTCGGCTGTGAATTTTCGTTCGCCGTTCCCTTATTCCGGCTAACGAGTTCAAACGCGACATCGTTTCATCCTGTAACGATCTCCGAATAAATGAACAGAGCAAAATCCTCGTCCGATAATCGCCAGTTTGAATTGGATTATGGAAATGCCAGTTCGCGGAGGCAGCAGCAATCTGATTATTACCGTCGACGAACGTCTCGAATAAATATGTCGAATGTCAGGAGTCAAGAGAGGATAAAATTGTTGTGATCCGTACGACCCGCCGCGCCGCGGATCCCCTCGTTTCATAGATCGCAATCGTCTTCATCGATTCTCGTTCCGAACCTCGTTCGCGGCTTAACGTTTCGTTTGAACCTTCACATTCTCTTAACGGCCTTATTACATTCCAGTTACACCTGCACTCGCGCCGTTTCCGCGGAACCGTGCCGGAATGATCAATAAATCCGAGAAAAGCGTTGATCCGCGGCCAGTGAGCAGTACACGAGAGTGCTTGCGTGCAATTCGCGTAATCCCGCGAAATAAAAGTAGAAATTACTTCCGACGAGCAACGCAGGATTTCCCTGCGAGCTTCAATCTTCCCGGATTAGGCTCGCGGTATCTGGAGTATCGTTGAGATTCGTTTCTGTCGTATCGAGGAGATGGCAGCGGTCGATTAGAAATCTTGTTAACACTTGTTGACCTGTGAATAAGCGCTCGTCGAACTCGTGCGATCTTCGATTCGATTTTCCTAGTAGAGACGCTGTCAAGATTATTCACAGCTCTTTTCACCTTCTAGCATCTCGCAGATCCAATCAAATTCGTTCAGTGTGTCGCACGAGAAACTTTCAACGCATTCAACACGAATGACTTCATTTAGCCGACATTAAAGCTTCATATCTACAAGGTTGCAAACAAGTAATCGGAACAGTCAACAAGAGACAAGTACACATCTCTCTTTATAGAATTTAGCTTCCTGAATTAAAGATTTCGAGTAGCAAGGAGTTAAATACAAAATATTATCATCAAAATTCGACTGACAGTAGTTTCAGCGTTAGACCCTCATCAGGCTGAATATTATCTTTCCAACGGAACGTGGTCCGGAAATATAGAAAATCTTCAGTTTAATTACCAGAGTCCCGGCATTAGCTGGCTAAAAAGAGGAGCGTAGACTGGACGCGATTATTTATGCAGCGACAGATAAGAAAGCACGTAACTTACGGAGCTGGCTGCTATCTTCCTGGCGTCGGCCACGTCTGGTGCAATCGCTGTTTCCATCGCTTCCATCCGCCCCCTCGGACCCCGGCCAACCCTGCGAGGTCATCGCTGCCCACGAGAAGCAACGTTTCACTTAACTTTCCTCGCCGAAGGAATCTCGGACGATTCCAGAATTCGATCGAGCCGAATCGAGACGAAGGGGCTAGGGGGGGGGACGAGACCGTTCACCGCGGACGTCGTCGGGGTTGGAAAGCTTCCAACGTTAATAGAGTCGCACCTTCTCCCCCGGAGCGCGAAAAAGTTGTTAGGAGCTATTTACCTGAGGGCTCTAACCGACCCCTACAGTTTTCGAGCCCGCGGAAAGCTTGAACACGGCTGGAAAGTCGCTTTCTGGCGTTCACCGCGGCCTACGTGTTCTCGTTTAGATCCTCCTTCTCTCGTCTAATTCGCCCATAGGGCCCCTCCTCGGCGGAATCGTTATAATGGAGGAGGCATCTACTTCTTGGATCACTTTGATTTCGCCTGGGAATTTCGTTTCCTTAATATGTTGCTGCAAAATGGTCTTTATCTTGAACATCGAGCTTTTGTTTAAGTTGATTTCTGATTGCTCGTATTTGAGGAATTTTGTTTTCTTAATATGTTGCAGCAAAATGGTCTTTATTTTGAACATTGAGCTTCTGTTTAAGTTCATTTCTGATTCGTCGTGTTTGAGGAATTTTGTTTTCTTAATATGTTGCTGCAAAATGGTCTTTATCTTGAACATCGAGCTTTTGTTTAAGTTTATTTTTGATTGTATTTGAGGAATTTTGTTTTCTTAAGTGGTCTTCATTTTGAACATTGAGCTTTTGTTTAAGCTGATTTCCGATTCGTCGTATTTGAGGAATTTTGTTTTCTTAAGTGATCTTTATTTTGAACATTGAGCTTTTGTTTAAGTTGATTTCTGATTGCTCGTATTTAAGGAATTTTGCTTTCTTAATATGTTGCAGTAAAATGGTCTTTATTTTGAATATTGCGCTTTTGTTTAAGTTGATTTTTGATCGGTCGTATTTAAGGAATTGTCTTTCTTGGATTAGATGGACTTGTAAAGAAAATAGTTCTGCTATAGAATATACCAGTGGTTCACTATTTTTGTCTCTGAGATTACAATTAATAGTATTTCAATATCACACACAGATTTGCTTCTCGATTGAATATTCAATTCAATTACGAATTCTCGATTTTCCGGGGGATTCAAGGCTTTTATATAAACAGCCGTTGTGTCACGATATCTCGAGTTTTATCTCTAAACGGGACAGACCAAGAGACATTTTACCGATAGAAGAAAATAGAGTCCACGGAGATACTTTCCAATGGCACAGATTTTCACTCTCCAAGGTGTAAACACGGTGTTCAGCGGGAAAGCGCTGAATAATTTATCGCCGCTCCCGATTTGATGTTTTCTATTTGAGGAACACGCCCGCCTCGGAAAGCTTTCTCGTTAAAACCGGGGTGGTCCTGGTTCTCGCGCGAATTTCTCGCCTCGGCTGCGTTTCTCAATGGGTCCGGCGCGTTGTTTCACATTCAACCGGGGAAAAACGAAACAGCTCTTTGGGCGCGTCCGGTGTCTCAGAGGTGTACGGGGAATCGACGGCTGCGAGATGCTCGACGGAATTGACTCGAATCGAGCGGATGACGCACCGAAGTGCGTCAATGGGTTAACACTAAAACTGCCACACGAGTCAAAATCACCCATCCCTGATTTCTTTTTTTTACAATTATTACAAAGGCAACAGATGTTCGATAAATGATCGAAGAAATCGATTTAGCAATACGCAAACAATTGTAAGTCAATTAAAACTACAGTAGAGGCACTCTTGTTTCTATAGAGAAATTTCAAAAAGTCAATTTAGTGTTAAGCAATTGATATACAATTTAGCTCCATCTGCTGGGTTCGTTTTCAAAGAATCTTCGCAAAGAGTTGAAGCTACCCTTATATTAGAATGCATATTACACATACATGTGATCGCGTTAATATAGTACAACTTTAAAAAATCCCTAATAAAAAGTCATATATTTGTATTAAACATTAAGCTTGTGGATACAACTTCTGATTTCCATTGTAAATAAATGTTCATCGGCGTTGGGGTTTTTCGAAGCTGCGCCGTGTTATTGCAATTACACGAGATACGCATTATCAATAAATGTGAAAGGAAATAACGGAAAACGAGGAAATGTTATCTTTTACTGGCCGTGTAACTGCAAATGGATTTTCTTTATCGCGTCGCGTAGCAGTAACGCTGGATTATTCAAATGTTCAACGTCCGACCGTAACAATCGAGTTAAATAATAGCCGAAGGCTATTCGGAAAATCGGAGCGTTACGATAACCCCGAAAATACATCTTGAGATCGGGACGTCGAACCAGAAATAGGGGCACGTCGGGACGTCTGGCCGTCCTAATTTTGACCCAATTAGGATCGGATGATCCGGGATCGATCCGAAAGGAAAACGTCCCCGGATC